ATGGAGAATACCAAGTGCTGAAGGCCCAGCAGCCAGAACTGAAGCTAAGAGAGTTAAGAGAAGAAAAGGCAGCGCCTCAGTCTTCACATCTTGCTTTTAAAGGCTCCGAAAAGAGAGATGCAAGAGGTTGGGCAATGTGGCCGACAGGGAAAGGCTGCACGCAACCTCCAGTACAACGTTCTGCAAAGGAGCAGCAGAGCTCCTCACAGCTCAAACGTGTGTTATTCCTGGGTTTGCTCTCGAATAAACTGTATTTATTTTAATGCAGCAATCTATCGAGGCAGCACTTAAACACAACCAGATTGCAGCTTCCCAAACCGAAAAAGCTCCTTCAGACAAACCTCAAAAGCTAATAAAAATCTGGACGGTGCAGCGTCATGCACTGCGTTTTTAAGCTCAAATACTAAGCAGGCACAGACAGATTTGATAAAATTAAAACCAAACGCACACGACTTTTGCAACGACAGACGCCCAGCACGAGCTGAGCACACAGACAAGGAGCTGCCCGCCCTTGGGAGCTACAAGTGACCAACACACACATGCATGCTCAGAAGCATCGTCCATAAAACGTATTGAATTTGTACCAAAAAAGCCTTTGCATTAAAAGGGCCCCCTGGAATTAGTAATGCCTTAATAATCAGTGATGTCTTAACGGCGTCAACCAAAATGAAAAGTTTTGCAAAGGAAAAGTGAAGAATGAGGGTGTTTTTATACAAGTCAGTTGTCTTAGCACTATGTGCAAAATAGGAAAAAAAAAACTGCTTTACGTGTTAAAAGCTAAAAAATCCAGGGGATTTTCCTGAGGAAAGCCAGGGTGGACCTTGAATTCCTCAAAGACCGGACAGCCTCACTCAATTATGATTTTCGTAGGGTATCTCCACCCAAAAACTCTGGGGAAAAGTGCAGAAGCAAAGCACACACCTCAACAGGAGCTCCCTCTTAAAAACACCCCTCAGACAAATGCAATGAGGAATGCTGTGCTTCGGAATACCCACCCCAGCCTTAAATATGCCCCCCAAAATATAGGCGTGCGTTTACAGATGAAACTTGGCTGCTTCTGGGGGCTCGGATTTTTAATGTGGAACAAAAAGGCACAGGGACAGAGGCAGTGCCATGCGGGGCCACTGGTGCCTGGCAACCAAAATGGGAAGGATCCCACAAAGCACGATGTGACCGGTCACTTTTTCTAAGTGTGCTCTAGGAATGGGGCATTAAAACTGTTCCGTTTTGGGAAATCCTGTATGAAAGGCAGCACGCAAGTCGGGCCACCTGAAGATTCACTGTAGAGCTGGCTTCACGTTTTCTGTGGCTACTCTGCCACTTTGGAAATACATGTGATAGGAGACACTAAAAACATACAGCGATTTGCCCGGCACTAAAATTTTATATGGCCACATACAGATATTTTGCTATTTACACATCCCTGTTATCCCACAGCTGAATGTGCCATTGTAAGACAGCAGACTTTGTTAAAAGAAAAGTGCAAAGGTGCAGAGCGTGTTGGTGATGTGCGTTAATTCTGACACAGCCGCAGGTCTGTGGATGAAAAGGCAAATGGAGCGGCCACGGGAGGAGCTGAAATGCCAACAAATTCACGCACTTATGCATTAAGGACTGCATTATAGCAGCTCTAGCAATATTGCAAACTCTGCCCTTCTCTTTCAGGCAAACAAAGCAGCATCAGGAAACACACGTTCATCACCGCCGAGCGCAGTCAATGAACTCACTTCCAGCAATCCTTACAACGGCACCAAACCATACACTGCTCCCAGCGCTGTTTCAGCGTGTGAAACGCCCCACGACATATCTGACACACTCAGCCTCAGCAAACAAATCTCGTCCCCCAGAAAAACCTCTCCGAATTTAGCAGTGCTGACAACAAAAGCACGCACTGGGAAAAGAAAGAAAACAAAGGCTCCCAGCGCCTCAGCGGGACCAAATTTGTCCTTTGTGAATACGGTTGGTAGTAACTTATACACGTCACCCACTGCTGCACCAAGAGCTGTGCCCTCCCAGCTCCCACGAATGCTAGGTTGGGTGTTGTGATGAAATATGAACACCAACTGAAGGATGAAGCACAAAGCAGTGCTGCGCCCAGCACAGCACGACGGCCGCGCAGCTATCGGACTGCGCTCTGATTTTTGCCATCAGCACCTGCAAGGTTCTGGGTTACACGTGGATGTCCTCACCTGGCACACGCAGCGCAGGACCTCCCAAACATCAATTAAAAACGAAAACCAAGAGCCCAGTAGAACTCAGTGAATGGGTTTCTGGAGAATAGCAATCAACACCGCGCTGAAGGGAAATCGCTGTGCTTCAGTGAAACCAAGCAAAGCAAAAAGCTGCTAAACTAGAGCTGCTTTTCACGTGAACTGGATCGAGTCGCTCTTTGTCGGCTAGAGCCACGCTGCTGGAAGTCAACAGGAGCTCTCCAGGCTGAGCACTGGGATGTTTCTCTGCCAGCTGTAGCTGCACGGCAGAGCAGAGCGTGATGTTATAGACAGGGGAAGGAGCGGTCGGCCTTCACCAAAGAGGTGCTGGTAAAAGAAACTACGAGTCAGAGACAATTCCTGACTAAAGGTTGTTACTAAACAAGACAAGTGCGTGTGAGCTGCAGTCTGAAATACCATTATCTGTCCTCATCTACCTTTAAATCTCACAGCTCGCACAGACTGCCAGGTAATTAGCTAATTATTTCACTACCGGCATGAGCACGAAAAAAGAGATGAATCATAAGGAATGCAAACAGCCACGAAAACAACTCAAACAAGTTGTCTCCCCCAGCAATCTGGGCATTGCTCGTGTATGCTCCTGGTGTTGCTGAGTTTTAGGGAGCTTCTCAATCACAAAGAGCCACGGTGGAACCGGAGCCCTCGGCCTCCCCCCCACACACACAGAGCACAGGAGAGCAGCACGAAGGCAGTGCGGAGCCCAGCGCTGCAGTCAGCCCCGTGCATCGCCGTGTCCACCTCCTCCTATCCCTGCACCCAAGGAGAACCAACTCAGATTGCAGGTTTCACCATCAGATTCAAGCAAAGAGCATTTTCTCTCCCGCTACACCGTGTGTTAGCACAAGGAACTGTATGCCAGAGAACAACAGTTACAGAAAATTCTCTGCCGGTGTCCCCGAGTTTTGCCATTTGCACCCTTCCAGCGACAGAAGGGTGAAACCAAACAGTGCCTCTGTCCCCTGCTGTAAAACCAGCTGGCTGTTTTATGCCTCCGAAATACGCAAACCTGTCCTTATATAGGACCCATGATGGAATGGTTTCCTTCTGAGTGATGAGCTGCTCCAACAGCAGCGCCGTGCTTATCGCGACCAGGGACATATTGCTCAAGACGTTACTAAGAATAGTGGTGATCCAAGTGCACGTAGGAGTGCTGTGAAAGAAGGCAACACTCCACACCACACACACACACACACAAACAAAACATACCGAATTTTAAGCCAAACTGCACTTTTAGTAAACGCGCAGACTGTTTGCTGTTGTTTGTTTTTTTTTTTTTCTTTTTTTTTTTTAAATTGATGGAATTAGGGTTT